TTTTGTACGCATGCCTTTTATTTTAGGTCACCAGAAATCAGTTTTGAAAAGAGCACACTACCTCTGACTTGACCTGGATTGGACAGGTACATTCAATTGTGAAAATAAAAGAGTAAAGGCATTCGGGATGCACACCACAACTCCTCCAGGAATTGGGTGGGATGGATGGACTTTGATGCTTGGCAAATGAAACCACGACAGAACTATCAGAAAGGCTTGTGAGTATGGTGTTTTGAAGGAAGTTAATCTAAGGGTTCCAAGGCTGGAATTCCTCTGCATATCTGCCTCATCCTGTCATGAAAACCTCCAGATGGAGAAACAGATGGTAAGTAATTGGGTGTCCTTGGAAAGAACCCGAAATCCTTTTCCTATGGGGTCCCTGTGTCTACCCTTTTAGCTAGGTACCACATGAGGAGCAGTAACCAAAGATAAGGATAGAAACCAGAGTCACTTCTTCTGAATCTTAGGCAAGCCCAATCTGAATCTCAGTATGTCCTGTCTGTAAAAAGTAGATGATACGAGGGGGCTTCAAAAAACTTTGTGAACATCAGTCTCCACAACTCTAAGATCCGAACTAGATGGCGTCCGACTACTATAAACAACTGTTCTGAAAGGAATCACATTAGAAGGTCTCAGATAGAGTGGGAGAAAATGTGGAACAAAACTCAAATTTCTTTTTAAAAAATAAAAGACTAGGCTTACTGGTCTGAAAGAGACTGGAGAAACCTGAGACTGTAGCCCTTGGCCACCCTTCAGATCTGGAAAGGAACACACACTCATGGCCAACAACACATGGCCCAATTTTCAACCCAGCAGTAAATAGGTCTATAGGTGGGGACACTAATAATGCTCACAACAGAATGGTCAATCATTCAAAATCAAAAGGAAAGAATTTACCTAAGGACAAAGTTGAGAAGAGGTGGGAAGGTGAGTGGAATGGAAACAGGAACCTCAGGGAGGAAGTGGGATAATGGTTGTTGCAGGGAGTGGGTTGCAATCATAGAGATGAAACGAAGTGTATCATTTGTTGAATGTAAACTAATGATCTTGCCTGTAAACCTTCACTCAATTCACAATAACAAATTTTTTTTTTAATTTAATGGATGGTGATTGAGTGGAACACAGAGTATGGTAACTGATCTTCCCTTCTTCCTGGATAAGTGAGCAGATGATTAAGTATTGATGTCAATATCTTTGAACATCTCCAATAAGCAATGTTTGACTACTGCTTCTGTTTAAAATGATGCTTTCTTTTGGTTGTGGCCCAGAGCCCTGAAGTGCTACTTGGTATCTCTTTTCTTCCATGGAGCTCTCACCATTCAAACAACAAATGTGGTAAAATCATACTGAGGTTGACTATGCCGCTTGCCTCCACTTGGTCATCTTTGTATGAATCCGATGGTTTTTTTGTTTCTTTTGCTTTCATTTTGGAATGTTTTCTTGGTGTTTTTACCTGATGCTCATGAAGAGCCATGAGTACTTAAAACTGCCACTAATGAAAGGAAATCCGATCTAAGAAGGTGCATTTCTGTACCAGAGCTGTGTCACACCATCTTGTGGGCCCTCTGCTGGAAAGGAGAATCAAGTCTCAAATAACGCCTTTTTAATTGTATCCTCTAGTATTTTAGATGTAGGACAGTCCTATAGCATACCTCTATGAATGTAAAGTATCTTGTACCTGCTTTATGATAATGTAATAGTGACTGCTCTATATCAGAGCTGTTTTAATGATGTTATTTATTCTAATATGTTTTCTTTCCAGATAATGATTGAGAAACTAATTAAAATAAATTTTTTAAAATGGTGCCAGGGACCACAACAGTACCAGAACTTTGCTGTTTTCTGAGGTTTTGTTTGATACTTTTTTCTTTCTTTTTTAAATGGCATGTGCTGGATATCTCTATAATTTTGCTCAGATGACTTCAGAACCTGGAAAATCTGTTGCTGCGATTGGTCTTTTAATATAAACAAATATATCATTTGAATTTTTGGAAACTTTAGCTATGCTGTCAACTTTGGAAAAAGTATCCCAGTTGTACCCTGTTGAGTTGGCATTGTACAGAAATTAATAGCCATATTGGTCTAGAAACATTAAACTCAATTTTTTTTTTCCATTTGTACAGGGGTAACGCACTGTATTAAATATGTAAGGTCTTACCTATATGGGTTTTATTACAGAAACTAATAAAGTATTCTCTAAATAATGAAAAAAAATTTTAATGGAAAACCTCTATCATCTTTAATTCCATTCTCCCACCAACTTTTTGAAGCCCCCTCATAGTACCCGCGGAATCTTGGTGTGGCACTGTGGGTTAATGCGCCAGACTGAAAAGCCGTTTGAACTGCAAGATCGGCAGTTCAAGCTCACCAGTTGTTCCTCGGAAACCCTGTATAGGCTCGCTATGGGTCGGATCCGACTCGACGGCACTTCATAACAACATAGTACCCCCAGGAGTCCATTTCAAACACTGGCGCCCCCATGTGAGTCACAACAGCTGTGCTCCTTAGGGTTTGCAAGGGCTGGTTTCTCCCAAGTAGATGGCCAAAGGTGGACTCAAGTCTCCATCCATGGTTAGCAGTTGTTTGCTATTTAGGTTATTAGGATTACATGAATTATCATAGAGCTGTGCTTGCCACATAAGTGTTATTACTATTCCCACTGCAGGGGACGTGAGATATCCCACATGGGCTTTGCAAGCAGATGATAAAGAGGTCTTTGTTACTGAGGGTCAGAGGACCCTCTGGGCTGTGACAACAGTCCTCCCAAAGGGCCTGAATCGCAGCCCATTTCCTAGGGTCTCAACATCAGAGAGGGGAGAAGGTGGGGTGGGGTGTCTACATCAGCGAGGGCATGAGGAAACTTTTCTAGAAAAGGCCCCGTCACTGAGGGCCTGGGACCGAGGGGCCGGGACTTGAGATCCGCGAAGCCCCCTCGTGAAGCCCCTATTACCTGTCCCATACCGCCCAGCGAAAAAGCGACAGCACACGAAAGGACGGCAAGCCCCACCCTGCACTTCCGGTGGCGGCAGCAGGATGGGTGGGCGGGCCCACGGAGGGGCGTAGCCGCGTCGCACACGCCGATTAGTCACTTCCGGGCGCAGACGCGGGTGATCGCTGTTGGAGAGGTGGGTGGTGGCGTCCTCGAGCGATCTGGGGAGAGTGGGGGTGTCATTTTGCTGTGACCTGGCTCCATACCCTTCTGGCTTTCCAGCCCCGTTTTGTCGTCTTCCCTGGACCCCCATCCTTGGGTCCCCCATCCTGGATCCCTGACCCTAAACCCTCATCCCTTGAACCCTATCCCTGCGTCTGCCTCACTTTTCTCACCCTGTGCTACATCTTTGTATCTCATTTTCTGTGGGCCTGCTCCTTTTCCATCCCCTTTCCCGCCCCCCCATGTTTGCCCCTGAATATGGGTGTGGACAATTCCATTTGGGACCAGTGATGTCCCCGAAAGCAAATAAAGTGAGAATTCTGTCTGCAGAAAGGCGAGGGTGCTGGCCCCGGCTTTTGAGCACCACAGAGCAAGGATATGAGGGAGGGCCTCCTGTGACTTAAATGACTGCCATTAGGATCAGCATGAAGTCATAAAAGTAATTCATACCAGCGGGAGGTTGGAGGTGGGTGGGAAAGACGCTGTGCTGGGAAGGAAGTGCAATTCATCACCTGCCTCTAAACATGGGAGAGCTTTTTGACATTTGCTTTCATTGTGTATCCTGTGTACATATGTAAGCATGAGTCTGATCAACTGGTCCTGAAAGTTTTATTCCAGTATTAAAAAAAAAAAAAAAACACCTTTTCTGTGGAGTGGAGTCATGACTCCTAGTGACCTCACATCTGTCTAAGTAGAACTGGACTCTGCAGGGTTCTCAATGGCTAATTTTTTGGGAAGTAGATTGCCAAGCCTTTCTTCCAAGGCACTTCTGAGTGGAGTTGAACCACCAACCTTTTGATTAGCAGAAAATCATGTTAAATGTTTGTACAATCCAGGGAATCCAATTTGTAGTACTCTAGTGGCTTGCATGTTGCTGTGACGCTGTGATATGTAAGTATATTACTTAACAACAATATATATTTGTTTTTAAGTGGCATCGAGTCAGTTCTGACTCAGAGACCCCTGTGTTTAGCCTACATGTCACACCAAGACGCCATATGTAGATCTATGTTGTTAGTGACATCAGCCCAACCCCAGCGGCATAGTGGGTTGCACGTTGGGCTGCTAACTGAACATTCAGTGGATGGAACCCACCAGCTGCTCCTTGGGAGACAGATGAGGCAGTCTGCTTCCATAAAGATAAGACAGCCTCGGAAGCCCTAGGGGATCCTTCTACTCTATCCTACAGGGTTGCTGTGAGTTGGAACCAACTCGACAGCATTTGGCTTTGTTTGTTTTTTTATATATAAAAGAGGGCTTCAATGAAGCCCCCATTACATAAAAATTTTTAAATCCTAACCGGTTTCTATCAAGCCCTGGCAACTCCATGTGTGTTAGAGTAGAACTGTGCTCCCTGGGTTTTTGAGTGGCTAATTTTTTTGAAACAGCTCACCATACCATTCCTGCCAGGTGCTTCTGAGTGAACTCCACCAGATGGAGCAGACAGCACTGCCCAGGGAACTGGGAACAACCTATATGAGCCAGCAGCTATCTCTGTTTTCTACTTTCCGGCCTAATGATGTATACGAGGGAACTTCAAAAAGTTGGTGGGATTCAAAGATCATGGAATTTTCCCATCAACTCTTCAGAGCCTCCTTGTACATATTTGTTGTTGTTGTTAAGTGCCATTGAGTCAATTCCGACCCATAGCGACCCTGTATAGGGTTTCCGAGGAGCAACTGGTGAGCTTGAACTGCCGACCTTGCAGTCTGGTGCATTAGCCCACAGCGTCACACCAGGACTCCTTGTACATATTTAGGAGCCCTGATTCCCAAGGTGCCTCGGGCCCTGTTTGACTGATGTGCATCCTTTTTAGCCTCCACTAAAGCTGCCATAAAGACGCCCAGCCATGGAAGACAAACCGCTGGTGGTCTCAAAACAGAGGAGCGAGGTGCTGTGTGGTGTCCCCACACAGGTGGTATGCACGGCCTTCAGCAGCCACATCCTCGTGGTGGTGACCCAGTTTGGGAAGATGGGGACCCTGGTCTCCCTGGAGCCCAACGAAGTGGCCAGTGACATCAGCAAACCAATGCTCACCACCAAAGTGCTCCTCGGGCAGGATGAGGTAAAGGGTTGGGAAGGGCCAGGGCAGAGGGGGAGTCCTCTTCAGGGGTTACTGTCTTTTAAGAAGCTCTTGAAGCACGTGGAAGGCCAACCCCCTACATGGGCCATGGGTGGGCATTTTTGGCTCTGCAGGAGTACGTACCCCGCCCATTAGAACCATACTCAGCAGGCAAGGATGAGTCTAATGATTCTGTCACGTGGGCTTCCTCCTGTTTTGACCCTGGTAATGAGTGGCCATGCACAGTCTGCTCTGGAAAGTTCATCAGTGAGATGAACAGAGATCCCTCCCAGACTTGAGTCTTAGACTTGAGACAGCCGGAAGAGACAGGACCAGCAGAAGGCACCAAAAAATGAGTTGATGATGCCTCCACAGCGGTCTATTGAGGACTTGTGTGTTCCAGTGTCTCATTGAGCTCTGAATTGCCACAGCATCAGATCTGTCGCTTGGTATGAGGAGCCAGTCCGGACTCCTAGGTGATACTTAATGAAGGCACTAAGAGGAGAAAACCAGCTCCTTGCCCCTAAAAAGGTTTCCTCCCTCTCCTCCACCAGCCTCTCATCCATGTCTTTGCGAAGCACCTGGTGGCGTTCGTGTCTCAAGAAGCTGGGAACAAAGCGGTCCTCCTGGCCGTGGCTGTGAAGGACAGGAGCATGGAGCGGGTGAAGGCCTTGCGGGAGGTAATTCGGACGTGCCAAGTGTGGTGAAGCCACCGGCAGCTTGCCAGGACCAAGTGAAGACCTCCTGTCACAGCCAGGCTCAGGGACATCCTCCTCCAGCCATACACTCGGGTCTCCGGCAGTTCTGTACACCCTTTGGGGAGGGGGGCATGACTGGGACCTCTGAGTTGTCAAGGGTGGGTCATCAGGGCCCTCCATTGTACAGTGTCAGTCATGGGAGGAACCTTTTTTTTCTTTTTTTTTAAAATAAATGTATATTCCAAAGTACTCCACAGTCTTTCTCAACCACACTGTGTGATTCATCCCGAGTGCCTCGGTGGGCAGAGTGACTGGGGCCAAAGGCAGGGAAACCACAGTCTACACAGGCTTCAGGTGTGTACCCATACCCCACTGTCTTTCCGTGGTTCCACTTGGTTGGTTATGTGTCGTGGGGTTGTTTCTGACTCATAGCGACCCTGTACAGGGTTTCCAAGGCTGTAAATCTTTACAAGAGCAGAAAGCCTCATCTTTTTCCCACGGAATAGCTGGTAGTTTTGAACTGCTGACCTTAAGATTTGCAGCCCGATTTGTAACCACTATGTTACCAGAGCTCCTTGTGGTTCCACTAGGTGACCCTTAACTCTCCCTTGACAAATGTTAGCCAGTTACGGTGCAGGGGCTGAGACACAACCCACCTAGCCACAGGAGTGGGGAAAGATACACACCAGCCATAGACTTGTACCTCCATGTCCCGGTGTCTTTAAAGAGCAGGAATTTACTGTCTCAGTACAGAAGACTGGGATTCTGAACTCAGGTCCCTCTTTGCTAATTTCAGCTTTCAGTAGCTGCTGGTGAGCCTTGTTGTTCCTGGGTTCACAGGTGTATCTGCCATGTGTGTCTGTTTGGGGGTCTTCTCCCAAGTGTACCTCAGTATCTTGTCAGAAGTGATTAGGTTTATGACCCACCTGCCCACTGAAAGGTCTACGCAGAGTTGCTTCAGAAGTAAGGCCTAGAGATGCACTTCTGAGAACCCAGCTACTGAAAGCCCTGTGGGGCACAGCTCTGCTCTGACCACCCCCAGCAGCTGGCTTTTCCTGTTCTGGGATGGGCAGATTAAGAAATTATCTTGTTCTGAAGCTGAGCAGCCTTCATATGTAAGAGAGTTAGGACTCTCACTGTCTTTTTGCTGGGATACAACACTGACAGCCCCAGGGAGGGGACTCTGGGGTTGAATCCAGTATTGAGGGAGGAACAGGGCCCTGCAGGCCATCTAGGATTGACGAGGTGAAGCCCAGGACAGGGGTCTTTAGTGTTGTGCTGAGGGATTGGACTAGCCAAAACACAGAGTGAGGAGTGGGCTTATATCTGCCTGTGAGTATTCGTGCCTCTCCTACAGGACCCACCTGGACTCACCCTCATACCTGTCCGCCACAGTGGACAGCACATAAGTTGTTAGGTACCATCCAGTCAGTTCTGACCCACAGCAACCCCATGGCCAATAGAAGGAAGCACTGCCCGGTCCTGCTCCAGCCTCACAGCCTGTTAAGTCCAATGTTGCAGCTACTGTGTAAATCCATTGCCTGGAGGTATTCCTCTCTTTTTCGCTAACCAACCACTTTTCCAAGCACGATGTCCTGGTCCCTCCAGATGACATGTCTGAAATACAAGAGGTGTGGTTTTCCAAAGAACGTTCCAGTTGTAACACTCATCAGGGGCAAAGTCATTGTACCATGTGACAAGAGTGGTGTTGGGGACAAGTTCTTAAAGCAGAAGCTAGAAAGGACCTCTCAGAACATCCTGGGAGTAATCCCCCAGGATGCAGTTCCAGGGAACTGGGGCTATATTTCTTTCTTCAGATGCCGGTAAAGAAGCCCCACAGGGAACCCCCAGAGCTAGGACAGGCACAGAGAATACCAAACACTACTCACTGTGTTTTTTCCAAGTGCTGGGAACTGGGGCCTTGTTTGGAAAGTGGTTTTCCTTTTGATTTGTTAATGAGGAATCCACAAGGTCAGCAGTTCAAGCCCACCAGCCACTCCATGGGAAAAGGATGAGGCTTTCTGCTCCCATAAAGATTTACAACCTTGAAAACCCTATACAGGGTTGCTGTGAGTCAGAACTGCACAACAACAACCACAAAGCAGGGTGGGTCCTATACCTAACCCCTCTGTGTGGTCTTACTGGGGCCTCCAGCTGTTTGGAACAGTTCAGTAATTGTGGGAAATAAGGGCTGCTTGTGCGTTCCATAGCAACCACATCAGTTGCCCTTGACATTTGATCCTAGTAAGAAACAAAGGAGCCTGGTGGGGCTATAGGATAAGCACTGGACTGCTGCTACCCACAAGGCCAATGGTTCAAACCCACTAGCTTACTCCATAGGAGCAAGATGAGGCTTTCTGCTCCTGTAGAGATTTTTCAAATCCATTACCATCCAGTCAAGTCTGACTCATAGTGACCTGTATAGGGTTTCCAAGGCTGTGTTTGAACCACAAGCCTTGTGGGTAGTAGTCCAGTGCTTATTCTACAGCGCCAAACCAGGATTACGTTTGATTCTTGCTTTGGTGAAAATACAAGATGGGCCACAGATGTGGTTGCTATGCAACGCACACACGGCCCTTGTTTGTGAATGCAATCACTGAACATTTTTGAATCGTTGGAAGCCCTAGTCATGAGTACCCTGGACACCTAAGGAATCACATATTAGGGTGAATAAATACCAGATGGAGGAACCCCAGACTGCTGCAAAAGCCGCCGAGGCTGGGACCTCCTCCCAGAGCCCACAGAAAGCCTCCTGAGTGTAAGAATAACCTTCTGTCTGTTAGCACCGCCCCCTTGTGGTGGTTCTGGTATAGCACCAGGAGACACGTGGAGGTCCACGTTTCCTGCTGCTTCCGTAGAGCCCACCCACTCATGGAGAAGGCGGGCTCAGGAGGGCTAGTGGTGGCCCCAGGCTTTGGCCCCGGAGGGCCTCTATCACCCGCCAGCCCCACGGCCATATCACCAACATCCAATTGAAACCAAGGCCTCCCTAATTCACTTACTCCCTCACGGCTGGCTACCCAAAGGTACAGATGGAGATAAAGCTGTCCTGTCAATCAGTCTGGACGCGCGGACAGCTGCTGTAATTCAGAAGGAGAGCCGCACACACTCCAATAAAGAGTCCCCGAAACCGTCTGCTAGGTTGAAATCGCTACTCAAGGAGATGAGAAAGCCGCCAACAGGGCCTGCCCCACCATCAGACTATTATCACAGCTCCCAAGATTTACGGCGGGGGTCACTTTTTCAAGACAAAGCCCCAGGCCAGGCAGAGGTAACCCTTGCCATGGTATTCTGCTGTCACCTCCCTGCCTGTCTGTCCCACTGCATGTGGCTTGCGTGTTAATGTGGTGCTGGAAACTATGACACTGATATATTTCAATACCAACAATCACCTGTGGTGAACAGGTGGAGCTTACAGACTAAGAGAGCCTAGGAAGAAAGGCCTGGCAAGCTACTTCTAAAAACTCACTAATGAAACTTCTCTAACAGAATCGTTGGAAGCCCTAGTCATGAGTAGCATGGACACCGAAGGAATCACATATTAGGGTGAATAAATACCAGGTGGAGGAACTCCAAACTGCTGCAAATGCTGAGGCTGGGACTTCCTCCCAGAGCCCACAGAAAGCCTTTCAGACCCTTGGTCTGATAGAATCCTAGACAAAGTTGAGCCCCTTTAGAAAAACCAAGCCCATTGCTGTCATGTTGATATTAACTCATGGTGGCCCCAAGTGTTAACAGGATAGAATTGCCCCATGGGGTGTTTTTCTTGTTTTGTTATTTGTTTGAACTGTTATCTTTCTGGAAGCAAATAGCCAGGCCCTTCATGCGTAGCACCACTGGGTGGGTTTGAACCACAAACCTTTAGGTTAGCGGCTGAGCCCACACCATGTGCGACACCAGGGTTAGAAGGTATTCAAGCTACACACAGAGCCACACAGAGGATCTGAGCACACCAACAATCCTGAAGATGGCGGGGAACCAGGTAATTGTTCCCTTCTGCCATACACAGGGTCATTATACGGCGGGGAAGGAGGAGGCTTCAAGAAGTTCCTTGAAAAATTGAATTGAAAGACTGGAATTTTTATGGGAACCGGTGTGAATCAGAACCGACTCGACAGCAGTTAACAACAGTGTTTTCTGCTAAGCTGCAGCAAAGTCCCCTCCAACCTTCCCTGGGAGGACCCGATGTCAGGTCAGCACTCAGAGTGACTGGAAAGCATTTTGTTCTCGGGGTCCATCCTGAGCCGCCTCTGGGTCTGCCTGAGCCAGTTACCACAAATTCCCCACAGAGTAGGGCAGGGAACACGTAGTCTTCTGGGAACACGTAGACATCCAGAGTGAAGCTGGAAGTCAGGAGGGATCTTGGATGAGTGAGGGGGAATGAGAGAGAGATTGAGGAGGAGCAAGAGGGGAGAGGAAACCTGAGAGACTCAGGAAACTCCAACTGTAAAACAGGGACCCTTGGCCAGGACCCAGGACCCATGAAACGCACCTACCAGGTAAGGGTGGTGGGACTCATTTCATAGCTGAGAAGACAGATGCTGAAGATACGATGATGCAAGCCATAGTCTCCTGTCTGTTCAGAGGAGTCGCCCTCTTCCACAGGGGCAATCATTCTCAAAGGATCCTACTGACAGTTGGGTGGGGCTGTGACCAGCCTGTGTTGCTGCTGGGATGTCTCAGGACTCCCTCAGATTCACCAATGAAGCAAGAGGGGCAAGCATGGACTGAGGGACCAGGTAGGGAAGGATGATCTTCTCATACCATCCTCATGAAGACCTTGAGAGGTGGCCACAGTGCCCTCTCCCATACAGATGGGCAGAGAGGTGCAGAGGATCTGCTCAAAGACAGCAGCTGGCCAAGGGTCAGGAAAACTCTCACCAGATGTTGTTGTTGTTTGTCGTTGTTAGGTGCCATTGAGTCAGTACCGACCCATAGTGACCTTATGCACAGCAGAACAAAACACTGCCTGATCCTGGGCCAACCTCACTATTGTTGCCACACTTGAG